CACCTATATCTTTCTGTTCATGAAAACCAATTTAGGGGCGACTTGAAGTTCTGGACTCGCTGGGGTTTTTGTTTTGTTTTTTCCCTCCCCCTTTTATCCATGTGACTTAAAACCGTGTTTCTCAAGTATGTCGTGTGGAATCAACTGGAGGAGCTGTTAAAATCACTGCCCCTGGACCACTCTATTCAGGAGGTCTGGAATGAATTCATCATTACTGGTTAACCTAAAGGAGGCAGTCAGTCCATCCATGGTTAACTCTGGGTGCTCTCAACAGACAATGGGAACTGGTAGAACCATAAAAATGATGAGCATTCCTAAAAGATTACTCTGCCCTCTCAGAATGCCATACTTCCAACAGAAAGAAAGAAATAAAATCTATTCTAAGACGTAAGCATGCAATTAGGAGGTTATAACTACACCAAGGAAGGAAACGCAATGAGAGAGAACAATGGACTTTGTGATTAATTAGCAATCCAACGCCGAGCTTTGTGCAGCTACAGACAGATAGATAAACACGTGCATCAGACTGGCTCCCTGAAAGCTTCCTGATTTCTAAAGCTAAAGAAAACCTCTGGGTTTAAGACCAAATCTGAGATCTCACATATATTACTCGAAGGAGCATAACCATTCAGCAAGTTATATGTGATGTGGCTTTTCCGGTATTTTTTCTTTTCACTCTATTTACAATTCTCGAGGAGAATTTTAAAAATTAATAAACTTTAAATATTGCATGGATACATATGTCTATTATTCATTTATCAAGTAAAATTTTATTGAGGACTGAGAACAAAGCTACAACGACTGTTGAGAAGAGCCCTTGTTGTCATGCTGCCTACAATGTCATGGAGGAGACAAAGGAAAATGAATCAAGGTTAGGTGTCACAATGGAGGCAAGGTACACCCTTCTTGGTTCCTGTTCCCAGTGGCCCTGAGGGTGTGGGCCAGGGGAGCCCCAAGAGTAGGAGGGGAAGCAGGTCTTCTGATCCAAGTATTGCGGCAAGAATCTGGAGGAGGAGCAGATAGCAAGGATAGGCCCAGAAGCGATAGCATCCAAAGAACAACAAGCAGAAAAACATCTCAACAGGAAAATAGAGGGGACCAGGCCCTGTGCAGAATGGGAGGAACCACGCCATATGGGAAGAGGTAAAGCCCAGAAGCCTGGAGGAAACGTCGGGCGGGGTGGGTTAGGCGACATGTCCCTGATTTTCCACGGACCATATCTGACAAGCGTGTTGATCACAATGAAGTGGGGGATTATGTAGAAAAGATCACAGTGCAGCAAATGGCAACCAGGAGAAAGACTAGGGGGCAAATGAGACATGATATGTGCTTCCAAACTCCTGAACCTGATCATCATTATGCCCTTTGCCTTGAACCTTGAATCTTAAGGTTTTCCTCGAGGTTAATAATGTGGCCTCTGCTTGAAAAGCTAGTAGTGGTTGTGGCCGGTGTGGCTCTGTGGTTTGGCTCTATTCCCTGTCGGGGCACATGCCCAGGTTGTGGGCCAACTCCCCGGTGAGGGGCATGCAGGAGGCACCAATGGTGTTTCTGTCTCTCTCCCTCTCCCTCCCTCTCTCTCTAAAATCAATAAAGAAAATAAATAAGTAAATAAAAGCTAGTAGTTTTGTGATTTACTTTTCTGTAAACCATATGGTGTTTCCTCTGACCAGTTTCTAATAGCATATTGTTTTTTCTCAGTGTAAAATTCTCTGTCCAGCAGCGCAATTTCACCCAGTTTTTGGAAAAAATATTCTTTTCATTATGAAATTAATAAAGCAGCTGTTGTTGTTGTTGTTTTTCAATGGGGACAAGGTATATGATACAGGTGAAGTATTCAAGAAGAGGTCACCTTGGGAAGGTCAGTGGAGACCCAGCCTGAACTGAGTTTTGAAGACAATGTTTGCCAAGGGCTAGACAAGAGGAAAGGACAGAGAGAAGAACTAAAGGAACACAGAGGTGTGATTTTGCATAACAAGTAATTCGAATGCCTAGGATATGGGACACTGGCTAATCTGGAGACAGACACAGGGACCAGTTCGTGCTTGAAATTTAGATTCTATCCTGAAGACACTGTGAATCCATTTAAAGATTTTTAGCAGACATGTTGAAATATAATTTGCTTAAAAAGAAAATCTGTCTGGCCAGGGGCAAGGTAGACAGTGCTAGTGACTAGCTAAATGATGGGGGAAAGGTAGATGGATAAATGTAGGATAACATCCATATTTGTGGTGTGCATAGCTGAGAAGGTGGGGGTCCCAGTAACAAGCTAGGACTTACAGGCAGAAGAGCAACTATACCTCTTGAGTTCTGTTGGGGACATACTGGGTTCAAGTTTTCTGAGGATCATAGCAATTAAGGTATTTGGTAGATTCCATATAAGGATCTGAACTTGGGTAGATGTGTAAAAGAAGTTATGGTTTGGGGCAAAGATAATATTCAAAATATTTACAACTAGTATGGACTAAGACTGACTAATTAGTACAGGTGCCTAATGGACCAGAAAGGTTCCCAACAATAAACAACTAGCACAGCCATACGTGCACACACCAAGTGTACACAACCTTGGTATTGACGGTCATCAGAGTGGATGAGATCCTCAGAGAGATAAGAACGGAAAGGGCCACAGGACAGAACACCTACAATGGGGAGCGGTGCAAAGGAAAACAACCTGGAAGCAAGATGAGAAGGAACTGCCAGGGAGGACACAGAACACTGGGAACCAGAAAGCTTCAGAGGGGGAGGAGAGGTCATATGGACTATTGAAGAGATGTCCACATCCTTTCCAGGCTACACTATGTGTGATGTGCAGAGGCCTGGGCAAATTCAAAAGCAGTGCTCAGAGGTACCAGTGACAATGAAGTCTAAAAGCTCAGGGAAGACGACTCCAGCACAAATTAGGAGGCTACGGGGAAGTACTAAGTAAACGTATTCTTCCCAAGTGGCCTTCCATTAAAGATGGTGTCTCCAGCCGTGCGTAATTTGAACTGGGCTGCACAAGCGAGAGACATTGAAATGGAACCAGCCCTCACTAAGGGCATTTCCTACTGTCACCCCAAACCTCACTGGGCAGCTGTTCCACTGCCCATCTTCCTTCTCCCAGAATAGAACAGACAACTATCCCACTTCTGCCCAGGCTCAATGTAAGGCTTTTTGGATTCCTGAGTTTATCCCAAGCCTGTAAAAATCTCTTCCCCGTAAGCGTTCTCCAGTTCAGTCTTTTCTTCTAGGATTAAAACAGCAAGCTCCCCACACCTGCCTCAAGTGTGTCAAAGGTAGCATGAAAACATTCTGCAGGTTCTCTGAGAATTTGGAAGGAGGGCAGAAGGAGAGTCTGAGAGTGAATGCAGAATAGCCCGAATTTTTAAAAAGGAATATAATACTGCATAATATTTGAGAGTGAGGACAAATATTTAATCTTTGATAAAACAGGCGAAATTTTAGTGTTCGTATGCAACTGTAAAGACAGTTTATTAAATACTTGGGAAAAAAATGAAAGAAGGCTTAGGTTTCCTGAAAGAAAACCAGACTGAAAAGTTCTTAAGAGCTAAAATGTGTTGTTATTCGAAATGCCATAAAACATGACGTTAAAATGTGATTTCTAATTTCAGTGTTTTAGGGGGAAAGCATGCTTGGATTCACCTGTACACCAAATCCCACGCACCGCCCCCAAACGGGCCTCAGCAGGGGTGACCTGTCCATGTGTCCAGGACGTCGCGCACCTCTAGGGCCCTACTTCCACCGGCCTCCTGACCTTCCACGTAGTGATGAGCGGGCACAGCTACAACAACCTTGGGCAACACGATGCAGCCGCTTGCGGCAGCCTGGCACTGCCCAGAGCATGCTCAGTCAGGTCTTGACCCACTTCTGCAGGTCCGAACTCAGGGCAGGGGGTCGGGGGCGCTATTTTGACCTGTTTGTTAGGGACCGAGAGGAGAGAAACTGGGGGTTTCTTAGGCTCCTTTTTCGGTGACAGCAGTTCTGACTCCGTGGCGAAACAAGCCCAGTCTGGCTGCAGCATCCCCAAGCTGCAGTGTATAAACTCCACCTTTCCGGGTTTTGGCAGCAACCGTAGGAGGAGAGGGAGGAACAAGAGGAGTTGGGTAGGTGGAGGCGTGGCCAAGGGGCGGGCCTAGAAGAACCAGGGAAAAGGAGCTTGGTCCTGGCCCGAAATTGATGGTCCCTGGCAAGTCCAAAAAAGAGGGGGGGGGGGGGGGTCGTTTACAGTGCAGGATATTGCAGCCAGTACAGGCGTGTTAGACTAACATCTTATTTACAAAGCACCATATTGCACATTAGAAAAAACCTAGAAACTACAAGTAACCAAAAAATACAGAAATTTTAAACCCCTGGAACTACACCACTCAGAAGCCACCAGTGAACGTCCTGTGTTTTCTTCCAGCCTCTTCTGTGTGGGCTTTAGAACTGACTGCAGAGCTACAGGGAAAGCCTGCGAAGCTTTTGATGGCAAGGTGGCTTGACAGGTGGCCTTGGAGACATGGGTTGTGTGGCTGGCCCAGGGATTGGGTGTGGTTGGTTCTCTTGTGTCCCAGGATGGTACTCTCAGAAACCTGTTCCTGGATGTCCTTGAACAACAGTGCGACTCGATGCTCAGAAAAGTTGCAGGGGAAGCCCTGGTTGTGCCCTGCAAGCTCGAGGGCACCAGAAATAAGTGCTCTCCGCTCCTGCAGTAACCTCGGGTACTGCAGTGGAGCCCCGGGGCATCAAAGTCCTGCCTCAGAGGCTACGCTGACTGAATAGGAGGCTCCCCAGCACACTCAGCCCGTTCCCTCCTCTGCGGGAGGATCCAGGGCGCCCACTGGCCCACCCAACCGCCCAGCGCCCGTGGCTGCTGCGAAAACCCGGCGATGACACCGCGCCCGGTTCCGCGGCTCCGCGCCGCCCGGTGAGCTGCACTGGGCATGCTCAGCACCGGCGGCTTGGGCTCCAGTGGGTGGAAGCGCTGCACTCCCAGCCGCCTGCCCGCGGCGCCGGCATCGCTGCAAGGGGCTGGCGGAGGCGGCTCGTCCGCCTGCCGTCCGTCCGGGAGTGAGGCGCGGCAGCAGCTCTCAGGCTGGCCATGGCGAGGGGTGCACGGCGGCCACCTGAGTGGCGCGGTGGCGTCAGGTTAGCGGGGACGTGGGGAGAGGCTGGGTGGCGATGCGCACGGGTAGCAGGGAGCCCCGCACCCAGTGGGCAGTGGAGTCGTGGCTGCAGCTGTCACCGCGGAACTTTATGGGGCACTTAAGCTGGTGGAACCTGCGACGCAGGCTGCGCGCTGGGAGGCGGGCGAGGTCCAGGCAGTGGGCTCCTGGGGGTCCAGGGATGCTTCAAGATCCCTGCGGGCGGAACCTGGGGACGAATGGATTGGGAACAGCCGCCTCTCAGGCTTATACCATAAGCCTCTAAGGGCTGGAACGCGGTGTCTGCCAGGGGCTGCCTAGGATCCTCCCGGGTCTCCCGGGGGAAGGGGATGCCAAGGTGCCGCGGGCCCTCCACTCCAGGTAGCTCCGGTCACCGTGCCTCAGTTTATCCAAAACAAGGGGTAGGGTGTACTGTCCTGGCCCAGAAGGCCCTGTGTGTGGGTTCTGGGTCCGGAAACGGGAGAGCGCCGTGTCCTGATACTGCAGGAGTAAGGGAAGCTGTGGGTGCCTCCAGCCACCGCCTCGAGACTGGAGCTTTCAGAGTTTGTCGCATTTGACTCCATAGCAAGTTGACATCAAATTGCTTCATGGCGTAGAGAGGGAAACGTGCTTCACCGGCTTTAAAAAAAAAAAAAAAGAGGCAAAGTAATTGCAGAGCTGATTTATTTCACGCTTGACCATTAACTTCCCTTCCCTTCCAAACATTGGAGCTTGCAAGTTGCAGGATTTGTAAAGCAAGCTAGCAAAAAAGAATGTTTTCAGGTCTATTATCTGCTCACACTGTAGAAAATAATCTTTTATGGTTGCATTGCCATTGTTTTTAAGGATACTTGTTACACAAAAGTTTGGTTACTGTAGCAATCTTTATTTTGTGTTAGCTTTACACTAAGACGTTGGGAGGCTAGTGTTGCAGAAGCGCAATGTTTTTTTGTAGTTTTCTCACTTTTGTTTCTAGATGAAACTTTTTTTTCCCCGTTGCTACTATGCTGAACATAGTAAAATTGTTCAAGGTGAAATGCAAGATGAAAGATTTATTTTTAGAAGGGTAAGTTAGAACAATGTAGTTCTACTGGAGTTTTACTTTTATTTTTAAAAAGGCACTTTGTAGATCCAACTGCGGTTTCTACTGTTGGTTCTTCCTAACATATTTAGTACCATTACCATTCCGAACTAGTTCTACCTCTAACTAAAGCTGTATTCTCACGCCTATTTCTTAAGTACCACTTAGTGGGTTTAGTTTTTTTTTTTGTTTTTTTTTTTAAGCTCATTACAAAACTTCTTGTTTGCATTCTTGATAAACCTTAATAGACTTTCGAGGTGCATTGACTTTTCATTGGGTTGTGAATAGTTTTTAATGTTTGTTTTCGCCTGCTGTGGCTCCAGCTGTAATTCCAGCTACCCTGGGTGGTTTCCCTAAATGGGCTCTATGATATGCCTAAACACAATCAAGATTTTATAACAGGAAAGGCCTCAGATGTCCAGACAACAACAATAGCAACAACATGATTTCTGTTTCTACAAGTTAGGCCTATAGTCCTCCATTTAAGCCAAATAGTTTGGTGCTCATTGCTCCTAAACTCATTTCTAAACATAGTTATAGAAAACTTAGACATTTGAAAAACCCAGTACAAATATTGAGAAATTATGCTTCCCTTTTCTATAAATATGCATCAGGTTAAAAATCTGCCATGAATCAATGCATATATGTACAGCTTATCCTGTACAGCAGGTCTGGTGTTCTCAAGCTACACTCCCCAGTAGAAGTTAGTACAGTTAGTACCATCACAACTTTGGGTTTTTTTCCTGATCTAGAGGAAGCAACTAAGCCTTAGCTTCCTGTTTGTGAATGTGAGGTGAAATTTAATACAGATTAATAGGCCCCTTCTGGATCAAAAATCATATACATCTATATCTATATCCATATATATCTATATACACACACACACATATATACACACTCATACATGCACACACACACATTGAAAATGAAATGTATTTTAATAAACACTGGATTTATAATTATTCAAAGTGTATATACATTTTTCTTTTTTCCAGTTAGGAAAGACAATGAAATTTAACAAAAGACATATCTAAACTCCACTCTTAGCTTCAAGAACTCCACATTCTCCTAACCTAAAACTAACAAAATCAACAGGATTTAGATTGAAGAGGGGTTTTATTATTGCTAATGAAGCAAAGTAGATTTTGTATTCAAATTAGGAAACAGGTAATAATTTTTGTTTCTTTTGTACCTATTGGGTTCTCGCAGCTCAACTCCAAGCACATAATTTTTTGTTTTATTTTCATGTCTTTAGATTTCTATACTGTTGAGTATTATTAGTGACATTATATATTCATAGCAAACTATCACCTTTAAAAATATAGTCAAACCACCCGGCTGGTGTGGCTTAGTGAATTGAGAGCATCATCCCATGGACTGAGAGATCCCACTTCGATTCCCAGTCAGGGCACATGTCCAGGTTGTGGGTTCAATCCCCGGTAGGGGACATGAAGGAGGCAGCCAATCAATGCTTCTCTCTCACATCGATGTTTCTATCTCTCAAAATATCATTAAATATATATTTTTAAAAAACCTACCTTCTCTAACATCTCCCATCTTGAACAATTCTGTTCTCAATCAAGTTGTTCACAGAACAAGTCTCTCAGTTGTCAAACAAAACTTTGATTCTCATCCAATAACACTTTCATGCTGTGTGATCAGGCACATGTCTCTCAGGCGACAGAGAATGTGTGAGTATGAGTCAGTTTACTGCTAAACCTCTTGTTGTTAACATCTCAGGAAACTGTGCTGTGAATGTTTTCATGGGTTTTTTTTGTTTGTTTGTTTTTGCTTTTGTTGCTGCTTGTTATGATTAAATACATACAGTAAGTAACCGTGGGTCCTAAGAAGGTTAGTGACAGCAGCAAAATGAAAAGGAAAGTTGTGAGAACAACGATAGAACATTAGACAGAAATAATTGCGAAGCATGATAGAGGTGTACATGTGTCTGATCTGGCTACCAAGTATGGCATGGTGAAAGCAATGATTAGCACAATTTTGAAACGTAAAGAGGCCATTAAGAGTGCTGATGTTGCTAAGGGTGTGAAAGTACTCATGAAACAAGGATCACAGGCAATTGAAAAAGATTAAAATGGAATTATTTGGGGGTCTGGGATGGATTAATTCAATTTACATTATTTCTAATGGGAAAAAAAATGATTTGGTTTTTGAACAAATTGCTTCTCAAACAGTCTTCCTGAAGGAAGAGAACCGAGATTCCATTGTAGATCTTCCCCCACTCATGACTTTAATTTATTCATCTCCTCGTTTGGCTTGCAATTTAAATATCTGAGGCTACATAAACTTGGCTTGATTTGAACTTTCTGTTCTATGTTTTTAATATAAGAACTTCCAGATACTGAAATACCAAATAAATATTGTTGCAAAGTTGCTTTTAACCTCCAACACAGTACAATCAGATTTGTTAGATGAGTGGCTTTTTTTTTTTAAATTTATAAGTCATGTAGATAATATCTGCACCAACTCAACATGTACCCAAGCACTTGAGGTGTGGTCTGTCCTTTTCTAGCAAAGTCCAGATGACATGTAAAACTATGACAGCACTTTGTGACCCATGGCAACTCACACTGACATTTAAAATGGCCTTAGAGCCCTGGCCGGTTTGGCTCAGCGGTTAGAGCGTCGGCCTGCAGTCTGGAGAGACCCGGGTTCGGTTCCCGCTAAGGGCATGTACCTTGGTCGCAGTTTGTCCCCGACCCTGGTTGGTCGTGCGGGTGGCAGCCACTCGATGTGTCCCTTTCACGTCGATGTTTCTCTCTCTCTCTCTGTTCCTCTCTCTCCCTCCCACTCTATCTGAACAAAGAATGAAAAAGTGTCCTCGGGTGAGGATTAAAAAATAAATAAATAAATAAATAAATAAATAAATAAATAAATAAATAAATATAAAAAAAATGGCCTTAGATGCAAATGGTTGGTTTTAAGTGTGTTCTAATGCCTCCCTGGAACGGTTAAAGGATGAAGGGGTTTGGTTAATTCTGTGATGATAACCAGGAAAGAGCTGTCAGAAATCGTTTCTAAATTTTTCTTAAAACAGAAGTCCTGTGAATTTGTTGGTTTTACCTCTGCCTCCACCTGAGGTTTTTACTCATCAAAATATCACACTCAGTTTTCTTCCCCACAATCTTTTATAGTTAGGCCCCTGAGGGTACATAAATGAATAAGACAGTGACTCAGAATTCCGTCAGAGAGGCATGCTTGGAGACAGAGAAATTGTAATGCAAAGTAAGTGCTACAGAAGTGGCTGTACAGAGAACCGAGGAGATTTAGGGTGATCCCTGGGGGGGGGGGGGGGGCTCAGGAAAACAGTGACATTTCCATAGGACTTTAAGGAATGCCTCAGGAATTGGGTAGGAGTCTTCCAAGCAGAGAAGTAGGCTTTCCAGGCATAAGGAACACCATTATGGTAGTTAGAATGCCAGCCACCCCTCCCCTAAAAGATATTCACTTCGGGACTTTGCAGATGTGATTCAGTTGAGGATCTTGAGATGGAGAGAGTTTTCAGGTTTTCCAGTGGGCTCATTATAATCACAAGAGTCCTGATAAGGGAAAGAGGGATGTAGAAGTCAGCATCAAAGTGATGCCACGTAAGAGAGACCTGACCAGCTATTGCTGGCTTTGCAGGTGGGAGGGGTTCACGAACCCAGGACTGAGGGTAGCCTCCAGAATAGCGGTTCTCAACCTGTGTTTGGGGTCGCCTAAGACATAAAAGTAGCAAAATTACAGTTACAATGTAGCAACAAAAATAATTTTATGGTTGGGGGTCACCACAACATGACGAACTGTATTAAAGGGCCGCGGCATCAGGAAGGTTGAGAACCACTGCTCTAGAAGCTGGCACAGGCAAGGCAATGGACGGTCCCCAGAGCTTCCAGAAGCAACACAGCCCTGCCAACTCTTTCATT